TACAGAAAAAAAGTGAGATTTAAAAATCGATTTTGCATCGCGATCCATTTATTTAATTAATCCGAGGATTCCAAGCACGCATTACATCGTTGGCTAGACTCACTTATGATCAACCATGGACCTAATACAAAGGTAATCGTCCGTTCACCGATGATAAAAGCGATGCGCGAACCAAAAGAAAATTGGAATTAGCGGAATTGAATTGAGTGATATGGTTTGAGGGCACATCCTCCTCTTTTATTTTTTTATTTAACGTGCATGAAGGATACTCAGCTTTTATCATGATAATATTATCACAGAATCTACTTTAGCGTATCCATCCATTGAAAGAGGCAAAAACCCATCACCTGCTTGAACGTTAATTGAAAAGGTTGAGTCAAACCTGTTGTCTATGAATATGAGTCTTTCAAAAAATGATAAACAATTAAAGAGAAGGTTGAGTTCTGCCTTGAAACTTGAAGTTCTGGGAAGAGGTGAAAAATAATTGTGGAGCGTTACTCATTCTTATTATGCAAGTGTGGAACATCAGATAAGACATGTTCCCTAAAAAGCATTGCTCTTCAAATGCCTTCATATTCTAAATATGCATGTAACATCGTAAAAATCGGGGGGCCGGCTTTTTACGCCACGTGTTCGTGTAGTCCCATATACGTCTTTCTGTGTACAGTGTTTGTAACTTTACCAAGACTTGGCCAAATTTCTATCATTTTGTTGATTCCAAAAACTTGCAATACCCCACAAATTCTTATATGCGAGATGATCAACCTTTCTGATCGGTTCCACACCGTTTCTTTCACAAGCAATCGCATGACCAGAACTCAACTTCATCTTTAATTACAATTGAGAGAACTGAGAGAGAACCACAAGGGTAGTAAGAAGAATTACAGTTGAACACTGGCGTAGGTGGGAGGCTTAAAATTAACCATGACTTTTTTCAATTCTAACATCATCAAGTGATTTATAAATGTTCGTGATATCACATGATTTTCAACAAAATGCGCGTTTCTCTATTTCTGCAAACTGACATAATTATTCCCAAATAGCCAGGAAGAGAACATGTTTTTTATAGCCACTATAATGGTCCTCAGTAGCACTAACAGTAACACAAATACCTTGTGTAAACTGTTTTCATGGAAAATGATACTTATACCCATTATGACATTGTAGGCAAATTATGAATGATATGGTGCAGAACAACGACAGTTAGAAACAGAAGAGACTTGGACTAGGACAGCTAGAACAGAAGAGAATGGAAAATGTTATGAGGAGGGCTTTGTCCAACGTCTGATGAAAACTATAGCCTGATAGATGGATAGATGGTGCAGAACAACATCGTGTTTGTCGGACGACTCTTTGGTTCGATCAGGGAGACTCTAATTAACAGAAATAATTATGTCGAGAGAACAGATTGAAGGATTTGCTGGTTTGTATAATGATTTATTGTATATTACACTTTGATCGATACAATTGATTGGATATTAACTTAGTGTAAAGTAGATAGTTGTAAGCCATTCAACTGATTTCGTTTAATAGCAGTGATAACGTATTATGTGGGTGGATGAAAAGCTCATCATAATACAAACAACATAATAATACCAGATAACTGAAATACGTCATTACTAACAAAAGTAGTTTGTAGGGCCATATGGTGCTGTTTACAGAGATATCAACTCGCAATATTGCAAAAACTCCCTAATCGTGGGGAATGACACCTACTGAATCACATCCTCTCCATGCTCGTTCGTTTCGTTTCCTCGTTTCTACGTCTAGGTACCTCGTATTATATTAATATATTGTAAGCGAAGTAGTATTGGTATAACGTTGGCATGACTGTGTTTGACATTTTGCGAAGGTTATTTTGGGGTGCATATTTTCATAATTATGTTCCGAGTTCATGAAGAAGAAAAAAAGATATTGGTCGGCGAATCTCGTGACCCCGCTTACCCATTTAGTACATGTCGTCAGGTCAAAATTTCCTTCTTAGGTATTGCCCAGATTGCACATTTTCAAATCGAAAGTCCAGTGATTTACAACAAAATAATGTGTCGTAGTCGAATGGTTTAAGCACTTGACTTGAAATTTAAAGGTCGTGGTTCGATCCCCGACACGGCACTAATGTTTGGCAAGGCATTAATCTTCATTTGTCACACTCGACCTAGGTGAGGTAAATGGGTACCTGGCAGGAATGAATTCCTTGAAATGCTGGAGCGCTGTAATGGCAGACGTACATAATATCGTGAAAGAAAAAGGGGGCACATTTACAAGGTGAAAAGGCCCTGCCCACCCATCAGTGTTATTTAGGGTACGCGGAAGACTGCTCAATGTACCCCCCTATCTATATGATATTCAAAATATTTATACCCCCATTTTTTAATTTCTCAGGGGTCCAGAGAGAGAGAGAGAGAGAGGAGAGAGAGAGAGAGAAGAGAAACAAAAAACACACCCTTTGACAGGAATCTCCGCGTGAAAAGTCATGTACACTCCCTTTTTTTTTACAATTCTCGGGCCAGACTTTGTCGCGTTAAAATTAACCCTTTTGGATACACGGATGCGGTCCCAAAAGTGGGGGGGGGGGGGGGGGGGGGGGGGGGGGAGGGGGGGGGGTGGGTAAAAGGACACGTCTTATTAGAGAAGAATAGTAGCACGTGTTAAAGTAAAAGGCGCAATTATCAGAAGGAAAATGGCACTAATTAGAAAGGATAGGGGCACGTGTCAAAATAAAAGGGGCATCTCTCAAATTTGAATAAGGATCTAATTCACGGAGATGAAAATAGGCAATATTAGGAGGTGAAGGGGCACTTACCATAGGTGATAAGAGGCAATTCTGGTACCTGAAAAGGGGCATTCATCTGAGCCTGAATAGTGGCACTTGTGAGAGTGGAAAGGGGCACTTATTACAAAGGGAAAAAGGGCACTTGTCGAAAAAAGGGGCACCTAGGAAATTTTAATAGAGGCATTTATCAGACGTGCGTGAACGGTCATTATGAGACAGGGAAAATAGAAAAGGGGCATTTATCAGAAGGAAAAGGGCACTCATTAGAAAGATAAGGGGGCACGTGTCAAAATAAAATAGGGCATGCACTTATGAGAGTGAAAAAGATTCATCAAAGATAAAAAAAAATGGCAACTATCGGAAGGGGAATGGGAAACTATACAAAAGAAAAGGGCGGTACCTATAGGCACTAATAAGAATGTGGAACGGGCACCTGTAAAAATAAAAAGGGGCACATATCTGAAGTAAAAGAGGGCACCTTTTCTAAGTAAAAAAGCGGCGCTTGAAAAAGTTTTTTTTTGGGGGGGGGGGGGGGGTGCACTGGGGCTGACCTATTATACAAATAACGCACGTCCCAGAGTGCAATAGCGGTGAATGCAGTACGCGCGAGGTTCTTTAGATTGGTGCCGCTCTGTGCAACGAGCCGCTTGCGGCGAGTTGACAGTGCGAACCATCTGAAGAAACCGAGCGTTTACTGCATTTACGTTTTGCACAACAGGGTCAAGTGCGTTATTTGTTTTATAAAATAGCGACACAAATAGCAAAAACGAAACTTTAGATCTAATAAGTTAGAGTCTACGAGAGTTCGATCTAGATCTAAACTGTTATGTTGGTTCTACTTTTAATTAGACTCAGACCTTGCAGGCTTATTACCAAAAAGTCAATGGGATTCATTGCCTTGATTAAAAATAAAATCCATACAGTGGTCTAGAGACGAGTCTACATCAGACAGCTGAAATTCTGGCTTCATTATAAAATCCAAAAGTCAAAACAGGCCTAAATCCAAGGCAAAAGTAAAATAAAAATTTGCTTTTTAATAATACCCCGCTGGCCGCTCTAGCTAGCTAGCTAGAGCTAGCTACGCGTACGTTGCGCTGGGATATGGTGGAGCGTACAATATTAGCTACGCGTAGCCTACAATAATTGCAATGCAACTCGAGGAGCGCGTACTACACGTACACGCGCGCGCACTGGATCTCCATGGTCACGCGTACGCACCGTGCAAATAACTTTTTTACTGCGCTTTTTCTGCACTCATTTCTGCAAAATCGTGCTGCATCAAAATTTTTTCAATGCCATGTGACGCGTATTGACCAATCACGATGCTTAAAATACTAGAGCCATTTTATAAAGACGTTTATAAAATGGCTCTAGTATTTTAAGCATCATGATTGGTCAATACGCGTCACATGACATTGACAAATTTTTGATGCAAGCACGATTTTGCAGAAATGAGTGCAGAAAAAGCGCAGCAAAAAGTTATATTGCACGGTGCGTACGCGTGACCATGGAGATCCAGTGCGCGCGCGTACTTGTAGTACGCGCTCCCTCGAGTGCATTGCAATTATTGTAGGCTACGCGTAGCTTAATATTGTACGCTCCACCATGATCCCCAGCGCAACGTACGCGTAGCTAATTAGCTCTAGCTAGCTAGCTAGAGCGGGGTATTATTAAAAAGCAAATTTTATTTTACTTTTGCCTTGGATTTAGGCCTGTTTGACTTTCGGATTTTATAATGAAGCCAGGAATTTCAGCTGTCTGATGTAGACTCGTCTCTAGACCCACTGACACTGTATGGATTTTATTTTTAATCAAGGCAATGAATCCCATTGACTTTTGGTAAGCCTGCAAGGTCTAGATTTAGTCTAAGTTAGAACCAACATTACTCTAGATCTAGATCGAACTCTCGTAGACTCTAACTTAAGATCTAAAGTTTCGTTTGTTGCTATTTGTGTCGCTATTTTATAAAACAAATAACGCACTTGACCCTGTTGTGCGAATAAACGTAAATGCAGTGTACGCTCGGTTTCTTCAGATGGTTCGCACTGTCAACTCGCCGCAAGCGGCTCGTTGCACAGAGCGGCACCAATCTAAAAGAAACCTCGCGCGTACTGCATTCACCGCTATTGCACTCTGGACCGTGCGTTATTTGTATAATACACCACTGAGAGGTCAGTGGTAGACACGTCTACGCGCGCTCGTATGTACGTACGAACCGGCGCGAAAGTTGAATAGTCTATACCTTTTAAAGATGGCGGCCTCTTGGAAAAGCAAATTTTCCAATCGCCAAGAAGTCCAGGAAAGATTCCAAATTAACTTAGAATCTATCATCAATAAAGTAAGTCGTTTGATAATCGAAGTATCCTAGATCACTATTTTCTGTAAATAAACATCATAATAATACGTTCAGGTCTATCAAATCATGTTCAACACGCTCTGTATATTGACCCATATGTGTTTACCTGTAGGCCTATACAGTCCATACCCTTTCGATTGTGTAATTACTTTTACTTATTACCGGTAGTGAATCTCGGTAGGATGCGCACTCATCCACACATGACATAGCATCTGGCTGTGTATTATTAAGATGGGCAACACTACAATACAGTACATTCACGCAATATTTTGTCAAACCTGCTGTTGTCTATGATATGAGTCTTTCAAAAATTGATAAACAATTTAAAGTCTAATAAAGAGAAGGTGAGTTCTTCCTTGAACTTGAAGTTCTGGGAAGAGGTGAAAAAATAATTTTGAGCGTTATCGTTGTTATTATTATGCAAGTGTGAAAAAACATCAGATAAAACATGTTCCCTGAAAAGCATGGCTCTTCAAATGCCTTCATATTCTAAATATGGCATGTAACATCGTAAAAGTCTGGACGGATTTTTACGCCACGTGTTCATGTAGACCTAGTCCCATATAAATCTTTCTGTGTAGACTACAGTGCTTGTAACTTTACCAAGACTTGGCCAAATTTCTTATAATTTTGATGATTCCAAAAACTTTTGCAATACACACGAATACATGTCTACTAGATGATCAACCTTTTTTGGTTGATTCCACACCGTTTCTTTCACAATTGCAATTGCATGACCAGAACTCAACTTCATCTTTAATGAATCATCAGGATCATTACAATACAAGTTTAACTTTTTACGAATGGAACTCTTAAAAGCTGTACTATTGATTCTAACATTTCAAAACACGCTGCTGAACGAAACTCAACTGATTTTACTCAAAATCTGTACTTTAGTGACAATTGTTGACACCTAAATAGCAGTTAAAATACTATTTTTTCAAATTTCTGATGTTAGAAAGAATAATTTAAAAATTCAATTGTGACTTCACTGTCAAACTTGCCGATCAGCCGCATCAGCATGATTGTGTGCATCTGTGTGTTATGAGTGTATTGACTAACCATGTATTCAAATGCTGCCTATTAACATGTAGTGCAGTGCTAGAGGTCAATAGTAAATGAGTCGCACATGCTTCTGTTTGACCAATCATTTGATTAGGATCTAGGAGTGAGTTGTATAAAAGAAAAGAACATTCACCAGCTAAAGTTGTGTTCTCAGAGCTTTATGAGTTTGTTCTCAGAGTTTTGAACAGAATTGCCAGAATAACACTTGTGCATTAGGCTTTTTGGAATTACGGAGAACATTCATTTCTGATTACGGTATCTCAACCAAGCGCGTAGCCAGGATTTCATTTTAGGGGGGGGGGGGCGGTAGTGAGCACGCAAAGCGTGCGAATCACTTACAGAACGCGCATAGCGCGCTCCCTAGGGGGGAGGGTGCAGGAAGGGGGAGTTTCCCCCCTCCCGTGCGAAGTGCGAAAGCTTTGAGGTTTCATCAAATTATAAGAGAACGAAGACGATTCGTTGGACCATTCTCGACTCAGTCTTAATCCTTATCTAAATTCAGTTTCTGTTGACGTTTCATTAGAGAAAGAAGACGATTCGCTGTACCGTCACGGTCCTCGACTCTTAATCTTTGTTTGAATCAAGTTCTCCTGCCTCCGTGCGTAGCGCGGAAGCTCTGAAGTTTTATTAGATTATTAAAGAAAGAAGAAGATTCGTTGTACCATTCTCAATCGACTCTTAATCCTTGTCTGAATTCAGTTTTATGAGCAGGTGTACATATATATTCCATGGTACGGGCAATTTTTGTCATGGCATTTTTAGGGTTATACAAGAGTTGATTTTATTTCTCTTTCTTTGGTCTGCAGTATGACAAGCCTTTTGAGGATTCTCCCATTCTTGATCTGCAGGAGATGTCTTCTGTGACAGGTAAGTCACAGGTGCTCCGGATGAAGTCAAACACATGTTCTTACAATAACCAGACGATCTTTGTTACACCAGGGGGGTGTTTCACAAAGATCCTAAGTTTAACTTATCTCTAAGTTGGACTTAACATTTATGGAAAGCCGTTAGCATCTATGAAAATATTTTGTAAAAGTTATTTTAAAAGGCATAAAATGTTGATTCAAATCATTCAAGGTTTACACACCCTATCTCATATGACCACAAGTCTGTATTATAACTATTAAATGTATTTGATATTGGGTAGCTGTAGTCTGAATGGTGTGATCACATACACACACACACACACACACACACACACATATATAGATATATATATATATATATATATATATATATATATTTATGTCCGGTGTAGTAGTATCAAACAAATTTGTATTTGTTGCCGTAGACTAAAATGTACTTGAAATGATGAGGACAAGAATGTCTATTTGAACTTATGAGTCATAAATTTATATAGATTCAGTGTACATGTATGTAATGAAAAAAAAAACTATAAGGGGATGAAATATGTGGACTATTTGCACAAATACTTTGTGGGGGGGGGGGGAGTTCAAATGACCCCTACAACATAGGATTAAACTTATAACAGCCTAAATGTTTAGAAGGCAATCATTAAAATGTATGATAACAGTGATATGATTTAAAAAGCACCTTTCCCCATAGTCCATGAACAAAGAAAGAAGAATGGTAGAGTAATACGTTTTCATGTTTTACTCCACTAGGCAGCAGTCTACAAGAATCCATACTAGTCTAGGAGATGATGAATTTTTGCCCACTAAATTTAAGGCTGGTAGAAGCTTAATCCATATATTCTGAGTTATCATTTTTGAACAAATACCAAGCTTGCATTAGTTTTCACTACATTGTATGATACATCAATGATTTTTTTTTAATAAAATGAAGAAGAAAAAAAAGAAGTTTAGGATGTAAATCATCAATGCTAAAAGTGTTCTAACATTAATCTAGAAAGTTTTAATTGCTGATGATATTTGATTTTTTTTTTCAGCCTCTTTAGAAGGCAGCAGTTTGTTCAAAACCGTTTGGATGGACGCCTTTAGCGACTGATTTACAGAAAGGTCAGTCTTTTTCACCAACCTACTCATGTATGTTTTTACAATTTAACAGGTCTTACATATTCTATACAAATCCATGTACAGCTTGGATGATATGACCAACTGATAAAGTTGATTTATTTTTATTTGTATTAAAAGGAGTGGGATATCCTGCTAGCTTGACGTCTAAATGTTAAAAGGCAAACCAAACCTGAAAGAGGAAAATACAGAGATTCAATTTTCACATAATTATATGAAGCTCATTGAATTAAAAAAAATATTTGTATATTCATCCATTTTGATGTGCTGGATGATATTAGTGGTTTATTTGATTCTCATAGGAAAGAAGAGGAAAGATGGTGTAAGCTGTGACAGTGCTCTCGGGTCTACTATGTCTCCTTCAAAGAGCAATGAATCAACAAATGAAGAATCCTCAGGAAAACATATATCTGGTAATAAAGATTCAATCAGGATCTTTAAAGGGACTTGGTAACATTGTTTAGATGAGAGAAAATGGTTGTTAGGTAGTGACTTCAATGCTAGATGTACAATTAAAGATAATCTGAAAATTTGAGTGAAAATAGACCATTATGAACCATAAAAATTGGGAAAAACTCATCTGATCGATTCATTAATTCTCCCAACTATATTATTACAATTAATTACAGTTTAGGTGAATGTAAATCGTCATTAAGCAATGAATGGGCTTTATATACCATTCCAGACATTCAAGTATTGAAAGATTTTTCAACTTACATGTATGTCCTATTTTCATGGAAAAATGGTTAGGAAAATAAAAAATGGGAGAATTTACTGTTAGAGGTGTCGCACAGTGACGCCATCAAAGAAAAACATGAATATCTTTGTGGTTCAAGGATTTTTTTTGCATGTTAGAGGTAGTACAGTAGAAGGAATATAATAAAGTAACATTTCATAAAAAATTAGGCAGTTTTTTCACCAACCTTCATCAATGTTACCGAGTCACTTTAATCGTCTATCTTTTGTAGTTGTCATTTACGTTTTACATTGTACAGTGTATTTGTAAAGCCCATTGAGTATGATGAGTGAACCCGCGCCACAAGACCACCAAAAATTAGCCAGAATTTATTCTTTTGTTTTAGATCCGACTCTGAAAGACGAGATTCTCAGCTTTAGAATAATATGGTACAATAATATTATTAATGTAAATTTAATTTTTTTCAAAAAGGGATTCCAATAATTTTTTTACTGAGCACTGGTTATTCTCAGCTCAATACATCATTTAAAAACTGTTAATAAGTTTGCTATCACCTAACCCCTAACCTCTTGTTCTTTTTTAACCTTTATACCTAGTGAATTATACCTAGTAAATGACGTCACGTTCAGTTAATGCACTTTGTAATGTATTCTCCCCTTCCCTTCTCCTTCTTTTTTTTCCCTTAAATTGTATTGGTGTTTAGGTTTTCTCTGCTTTTCTTTTCTCAACAATACAGTGTATATTTTTTAAGGGGTTGACGTTCATAAGGCTAATTGCCTTTTTGTTAACCCCACATTCCCATAAAATTTTGTTTGCTCCTTCCCTTTGTATTTTTCTTGTTATCGATTTTTATCTGTATATCATGTTTTTATGGAGAATGAAATTCATTTGTACCCCTGCAGGAAAACTATGATTTCACGCATGAGACATCTGATGGGTTAGGAGCTTTCATTCGTATAGACATCACTCCATGTCAAAGAATCCTGAGATTGTGGGTCTGAAAAGAGGTAAGGATCCATCCTAATCAGAATCAGTTTTTTTATACATTGGAAAATTGAACAAATTTTTCCTCCTCCCTCTTCCCTCTTTCGTTATGAAATTACTGTATCTACTGTATACACTGCTACATAAATTTACATGTTGAAGTACATGAATGCCTTATTGTTTAAAGGGCATAGCACTTTAATTTCATGTGGAATACTAGTCACAATTTTTATTTTTGTATAAAGTGTTTTAGTCTTGTTAAAGTTATTTATTTATTTGTGTATAATTGTTTTCACTTTTCAATAACTGACCTATCATTCATTAAAGGTATAGACCAGTTCTGGTCATTCGATTGCATTGTGAAAGAAACATTGTTGAATCGATCAGAAAAGGTTGATCATCTAGCATAGAAGTATTGGTGTGTACTGCAAGGTTCTGGAAGGTTCTGGAAGGTTCTATCCAGTCCGGTCCGGATAGATATAATGATTTATCAAATATATCAATTAGCAGGCGGTTTCCCAGCAAAATTTGTATCAACACGTATTAGTCAAGACATATTCTTTCACATGATTGGTAATAAGAGCTTCCTTTCCAAAACTGATCTTTACCTTTAAGCATATTTTTGGTACCAGTAGTTTGAGTGTGAAATGTTGATTTGTTTCTGTTTCAGATGGAGGAGAGTATGATGGGAGTTCTGATTCCGGGGATGATTCCGGGGATGATGATGATCTTGGCTCTGTGTGTAGTGGTCCAACATATACTGCCTACCCTGAAGAGAAATATACAAAGAGGATACAAAACAACCAGGAAGACATGATTGAAGTAGATAGAACAAGACAGACTGATGGGGACCTCAGGGGACTTTCACCTCAAGACAAAGTGAGAAGCTGGTTGAGGGATGATGCCTTCATGAATACCAGTCGTTATAGTAACATGGATGAGGACTCTGAAGGAGATGTATCCTCTACAGAGATGGAGGAACTTAGTCAATCTACTCTGAGTGAAGGGGATCTATCACAAGAAGACAAAACAAAGTCTTTATTAGAGATTAAAGAGAGGTTTGTGAGAAAAGTGAAGTCTATATTGGTTGAAGGAAACAATGAGACTGATGATATCTCTTTCTGCTGATGAGAATGGAGTCTTTGTCCAAGGAGTGGCTGTTGAAAGAACTCAAGTACAGAACACATCCAAGAATATCGATGTGAGTAGTAGTGAGAGGGAGAGATCATCTGATCCCAGTGTACAAAGCAAACCTGGAGGTACCGGTAATACTTCCAGGAGGTTATTCAAAGCACGTTATCATCTACCATCTGCCATGAGGCTTCTACAGCCAGAGGGAACCAAGATAGCAAGCCAGTGACGCTGAGAGGAGATGAGACAGCGATAATAGCTGGTCACTTTGATGATGACATTAATTTATCTGAATGTGAAGATGAAGACAAAGCTGTATCTAGTGGATCATCGGTTCAAAGGTGTTTTGAGTTAATGCAGTCACCGGGTGGAAAAATGGAATGGACATCCTCACATGGTAGGAACAATTCAGCAAAGAAGAGCTTTCCATTTAGTACTCAACATGTTAAGAACAAAGTAGAGTTTCACAGGGCAGTCAATCACCAACTTGTTGACACCAAAGAAAACAATCCAGGCTTCGGATATGAGTGGAAGAACTTTTAAGAAGCCTCAAAGTAACTGTAACCTTCCCGTCAAGAGACATATCTCTAAGACAACAACAGAGAGCAATGAAATGTCACAGGGTATGCTTAGTGAAATAATGGATTTCTTTAAGTCTCCTTTGCCAAAGCTCTTGACCAGCCCAATGCCAGTGCTATCACCCAAGGGCAGACTAAGGACTGCTCAAGGTAAAACAGTGACAAGAAATGCAGTTTCAAAGTCAAATGACACTGGAAGGACTTATCCCTCTACAGTGACAGTACAGGCAAGTTCACCACTTAAGTCAAATGGGTCTCAATCTGCTATACCTCCTGAGCAATCTTCAATCAGCGGTCAGGTGGACTGATGAGAGGACTAACATAAACCAGAAATCAAGCAAGTTTTCATCTGATGACACCGTGAATACCATCCAAGGACCCGGGGGTATTCAGGAAATACATGCAGATCCACATTCAAATGAACAGACCTCCAATACAGAAGGAGAGGAAGACATTGTACTTTTGACAGCAGACAGCAGTGGGGAATCAACAACTTTCCAAGATCAGTCAATGTCAAGGTTCAATAGTGTGTCCCGGAGTCCAAGAACTCCATCCCACCTAAGTCATTCTTCCAATGAAATTGTCAAAGTTCCTACAATTCACACTCCATTAAGCACTGCTACCAAACACATGAGCAAGTCTCAAAGACACCTAGTATCACATCACCTTTCAGTCACATGTGTGTGAATTCTGCTGAAAAGGATCAACTAAAAGTGAGACATTTAAGAGAGAAGGGAGCTGGGGATAAATTTCCATATCCCCCAAGAGTCTGGTCTTTGGTGAAAGTAACCCTAGAGATCGTTTAGGGAACACGCCTGATATGGAGTTATTGGTTCTCAGTAGTGATGAAGATGAGAATGATGGATTGAATTACGAAATAGAACATATGGCAGGTAGTCCAGAAATGAGTAAGATTAAAGACATTTCACATCAGTTTAGCTGCACCGAACCACAGCAGACCAAAACTATCAAATCTGCTCCCCAAGTAGATAGCATGGAGGATGAATCTAATGCAAAAGAAGAAATAGGCTCTAAATGTGGGGGAAATCATGACTATGATTCACTGGAGCAATTGTTCAATAGACGTCCAGAAGAGACAGTGGACAGCATTCATGCATGTAACAAGCTCAGTCAGTTTGAGCAGACGTACATTGTTTCTGATAACGAGAGAAAGTCTTCCATGCCTCATCATATGTCTCCGTCCAGAAACCAGATTGATAGGGACAGGCAGCGGTTGAAGAAAAACACTCTAAAATCCAGCTCTCCAGTTCTCCAGATCAACCTGACTAAAATAGAGGAAGAAGAAATCAAATCTCATCAGCCAAAACATAAACATTCAAGCAGCTATGAAACAAGAGAAGAGAACTCCAGTCCTAACAGGAGGGATGGTAGCAGGAAAGCTCACAGAAGATCTCATTGTACTACACCTGTGATGACAAACAAAGATACTTGTAATTACAAGAGACAAAATGAGGAACATACCGCAAACCTCCTTAAGAATGGGTGTAGATTGCAAAAAAGAAACTATGAACCATCTCACGCCAAAGACAGACATTCAAAGACTCCTGCAGTTAGGACAAGTGATCACCACCATCAGTCAGATAGAGTGCCAGAGAGAAGTGAGTCCACCTTCATCATTCACCCTGGAGATAGACGTGCTGTCCCAACTAAAAGTGGTAAAGGAATTCATGATGGCAATGAAGAGTCCAGTTCTCCAATCACAGAAGATATCCCAAGTACTGTGTCAGAAGGAAGCAGACTCTCTGCAACACCTAGGACAAAATCCAGTTCAGTAGTGAGGAGCAACTCTGTGACCAGTGACAAATCCAAAGATAAAAACAGACAAAAGCCAATTGCTAAAACTGCACAGGTAAATGACACTTCAAGTCACAGTCATGTTAGACTAACATCTTCAAGGCAGCAGAAAATGTTGATTCAACAGGATAGAGTTTCTACTAATAGGAAAGGCACTAAACTTCATGTAAGAGATGAATCTTTCCTAACATCTACCAGAATAGATGAAGATGAGTTGAACAGCAAGGATCTCAACAGAACTCTATCATCTGACAGACCAATGAGGAAGGACCACCTGACTGATAAGAAGCTACCAAAGAGGGTTCCTCAGACACATGGAGCAGCTATACAGGGTAAGTAGCCAGTTTGTATACAAAGAGTAGTGGTAGAGTGGCCTTCACTCATGGCTTTACGTTGTGAAAGATACAGGGTTCAGGGGGTGGGTTGCAACTTTTGCAATCATATATATGTGTAGGTTTAGAGTTAGCATTAGGTATTTGATTATTGATGAAAATTGATTGCTAAAGCATTTCACCAGAGCATCCATGCATGTGGTACAATTTGAAGTATAAATAGTATAAGGGATAATAGCAGTTGATTTTATTTGACAACTTATTTTTTACAGGGATAATATACTATGTTTTATTTGAATCAATTAAATATCATGACATTTAATATCCACATTTGATAACACTGTTCACATTTCCTGGTGAAGCCATACTAAAATGTAACTATTAGTGAATTATGATAGACATTTAGATATTTGTATCTGTATGTTATCAAATTATAAGTGAAAGAAGAATAAAAGAAAATACGTTTTGCATTATGCAAAATCTAAATTTTGTTCTTCTCTCTCTTCAGATAAATCCTTAAAGATGAAGGGCCAGACTCCAACGAAGCGTAGAAGACGGGCATCAGATAGAGCTAGCAGTCTAGAATCACCTGCAAAGAGACAAGTCAGTATAAGAAAATCTTCACAGACAGGGAGAACACCATTGGACAGAAGTAAAGGCAGTAGAATAATAATAGGTATTAGTGATGATGATATAGAGGCGAAGGAAAGGAGTGATGAGAGTATGTCTTCATTGTCATTATCTTCTATATGTGAAGGACCTGGTAGGTGTGTCAAGAAGATATGTTTCAAATGTGCAATGAATGAATGAATGATAATGATTCTATTCAGATGCTACCAACTCAACCATCATCTAAGGACCTTGATACACATCAGATAGTTATTTGTGAATTCAGCAGATTGATTGGAAAAACAAATGATGTAAATAAATTACACTGTCTATTGACATTTAACTTCATAGTTTGCTGTACTTCCTCATACCTTGTTATATGATCCTTTGATATGATACATGAAAAGATGATTCTACCTTCATCAGTATGTTGATAAATACTGACTGTCTCTATGAAACTGTTCTGATGTTTACTACAGTGCAACACTTTGTAAATGAAAGTATTCAGAGATTTACTGAATACAACCATTGAAGACATTGGTATTACATTTTCATCAGCAAAATGAAATCTGCACTGTCAATTGAATAAGGCATTCATCTGTAGTGAAATATAATGGGAGGCAGGAACTTTCCATACAAACTGACATTCTAGTGTTTAAGAGAGAGAGAGAGAGAGAGAGGTGTATTTTTTGACATCATAGATGCAGGATCATATATGACCATAATGACACGAGGGATAAACACAGGCCTGATAAATACCTGATTTAAATCGGTTTCTGATTTATTTTTTCCCCCCAATTTTTTTCCCTCTTCTTCCGATTTTACCCTTATTTTTACCTATTTTTCGATTATTTCCCCATTTTCCCTAGTTTTTTCCCCCATTTTTTACTCAAAAGAGGGGAATGTTTTAGATACCTTTTTTCCACCTGAATCCTTTTTTTTCTTTACTCGGGGGGGGGGGGGGGGGGGGGGGGGGGGGGGGGGGTATTGATTAGGGTTTGTGAATATGAATGAATGTGATTGTGAATATTTCAGATGATTGAAAGATTCAGAATGTCATTTTGTGAAAAGGATGACTTTCAAGGTATCCCAAACCTAACAGAACAAAGATGTATAAAATGATAAATGTAAACAGAACATGGTAGGAGGAATGTAAACTTCACAAATTTTGTGTTCATGTGGGATCATAGTTTTGTCGTTATTAAGTTTACTTTGTATATTTTAATTGAATAAAGGTTTTGTAACCAAGTTTCATTTGTTTTTTTTAATTCACAGTCTGAGGTCTTTTATGGGGAATAATTTTGCACAGATATAGAATATTCTTGATTTCTTCTTCAGCCACATGGGTTTGTGGAGTAGGTATATAAACATGTACATGTAGAATGTACAGCATAAAAAATTGTCATAAATACAAATTGTTCATCTCATGTAGAATTTCACTTTGTTTATTTTTAGGGGGGGGGGGGGGGTCATGTAGCTGCTATCTGTACAGATTTTTGTCTATTATTCTTATTTCAATTGCTGGACATAAGTAGTACATGTCTTATTTCAATTCTTCTTCAGTTGTTGAAAATCAAATTAAGGTCAGGTAATGACATGACATTTGAGAGAAATGTATTTATTTTTAAGTTGCTTGTCATGCAGTAGATGTGCTGTTTTGACTAGAAAAGCTATGAACAAACTAATTGAAACAAGTTGGAACTCTCATTCACTAATGAGCTTAACTCATATCAGACCATGCAGGTTCATGGGCCGGGATGACTACCAGATATTCATATCTCTCTTTACTTGTAAATCAGCTGTTTACATTTTCTAGCAAGATATTTGGCAGATACCATTGATTTGTTGTCTTGAAAGTTCAGTGTAAATTTCATTAGATGTTGTAAAAATTATTTGTGTTAAGATTACCGTAGTAGTAACTACAAGACGCCTGGCTGGAATGCTCCAGGGAGTAGAATGTGCATACATTGTGTGCGGGTAAGCCTGATCCTATGACCTGTATAATACATCTGAAGCGCTTTGAGAGGGCCTGTCCTAAGCGCTATATAAGAACTAGCTATTATTATTTATATTAACTGATGTATGTGTACTCATTACTTCGTGCCAAAATCCAATTGATCTTCTTTAAATTAGTGAAAAATGTGAAATCCTGGCTAGTTCATAGAACATGACAAGAGTTTTAAAGAAATATATACCCTGGTAATCGTCCATAGTACCTGTATTTAACAGATCTTTTCATTTACACCAATGAGTGCTATTTATAGTAGGATGCGTAAATATCTTATCAATATAGGGGGGATAAAATCATAATGAAATCTTGTTTGATAAAGAAATAATTGTCAGGTTGTCAAGATTACATGTAATTGTATGTTCCAAGTGACTAATTTTGTCAACTGATTTCATTCTCTAGAATGTGTAGGCCTGTGGTACTCCTTTTTAATTGTCACTTGCAAAGTTGCAAAGTTGCAAAGGAGTGGATTATGGTCCACCCCCCCCCCCCCCCCCCATTAGATGAAATTGCGCTAAGAAATTAATAGTACATGTTGTCTTATCTTGATAATTTGTTATTTTATGGAGAACGATTTTCTGTTAGAGTGATGTGGTACAAATGTTTATGTATGTTACACTGTATGTACATTCCTAGGGTTTTGACTGTTACAATTTTTTATATGAACTCATTTTTTATCATTGTGGATAATAAAATCATGATGAAATGGAGTGTGCAATATGTGTCCAAGGCAGATTATGTATGGGTAAGTGACTCAGTACATTATTGAAAGAAGGGGTATATCACTGTTGTCCTAAAATGTAGCAGTGAACTGGAGAAAATATAATTGTAAATATCTGCTTAGATTGTGAGAGGAGGAAACTGATTTATATTCTGAATGGTACAGTTGAACCTCATAGCAAAACTCTATGGGCTCAATGTAATGGGCCCACCATATAGGGATCTGTCATTTCTCTACAGAAAAGAAGCAAAAGAAGTTTACAAAAAAGGTAATACAGTTTTGGAAGCAAAAGTGTAGGACTAGAATATATGAGAGATAACAAAGAGATATAATATGCGAGGTAAAGGACATGAATACAGAGAGGGGTATAATAAGAGAGATAAAATCTGTGAGATAAAGGACATGAATACAGAGAGGGATGTGATAGAGAGATAAAATCTGTGAGATAAAGGACATGAATACAGAGAGGGATGTGAGAGAGATAAAATCTGTGAGATAAAGGACATGAATACAGAGGGATGTGATAGAGTGATAAAATCTGTGAGATAAAGGACATGAATACAGAGAGCGATGTGACAGAGAGATCGAATACAGAGAGGGATATGATGGAGAGATGAATATGGAGAGGGATATGATAAGAGAGATAGAATATTATAGATAATAATAAAGAGATAGAATATATATATATATATATATATATATATTATATATATTGAGAGAGAGCGAGAGAGAGCACCTTTTCATAAAAATGTACATCCAATAAATACACCATAAATTGTCATATCTTCTCATACTTTACGTTTAAAAGCAATTTTTATTTATTCCACAGTTACTTCTAAAGAACATTGTACATGTACATACTGATCAGATTGATTTATTATTTTTTACTCTTACGTGGAACATGAGCGTTTGAATACTAACAAATGAAGGGTGATTTGCACACAACACGATGTCTACATAGCAAAAATGTTAATTACAAGTGTGTAAAGTAGATTTAAATAAATATAACCCAATATGAACACCAACGTTTAAGGATGTCTCTTACTTGAAGATTACAGTCAATCATTTTCGTTCAGGATATTAAAAGATTAGTATTATTGGATAACATACCCGGTATCTTTCACACATCAAACAAAGGGGTGCTATTGAGTTTCATTTGACTTATTTATTGTCTATATTGGACGTGGGTGTCCTCACTATAAACTCCTTCAACATGTAAGCAGTACACAAATGAACTCTTAAAATAAGATGTCGTGCAGTTTTTATTTATTTTTTGGGGGGAAATGGGAGATAACTACAGTAACTGTTCGATATATCGGCATGTGAAACTAAAAAGATACCAACACTACTCTAGTACTTCCTAAAACATTACGCATGTTAATATGGTTTTGAGCCATTGTGGCTAGTATTTAGAATTTGACTAAAAAGTGTGGAATGTACCAAAACTATAAATTAAACTGCAGCCTACCAAATTGCAAATTATTGTACATAAGGATTGCATAACACATACATCTACATTGGATGAATGGACTTTTTCTCAAAATGTGAACATTTATTTTTTAATTTTTCTTTGTACTGCTATATGAGATCAATGTTCTCTTTTGCTTAGATTCAGTAGGATACAAGCATTGTCATTCATATATACTGTACATGTAATCATATTCATACAAAAGTGACTATTACATACAAGGTATTTGTCTACAATGAATTATGTGCATGTGATTTGACATTCAAGCAGATTGGTCTCAGTAATAGTGCAGATGAATCAGGCATGGTGGAAAGTTCACATCCTTTAATGAACCTTTCAATCTGATTGTGAAAATAGTTGTATAGTTCTTTATTTTGTCTAAAAATCTACTAATAAACATCCATAAATGTTTTGACGTAATTCATCATTTTTTAAAGTGACCAAAAAATAACAGTGGTAAGGTTTAACTGTTATATGAATTTAATTTGTACCTCATTATGAATAAATTCTGCTACAATAATAGATCTCCCATCACCATCCATTAGATTACATGCACTTCTCATCATAATTTGGGTCAGTGTTCAGTATTACTTTCAAAAGATAAATAGTACCTGTCAAACATCTCACCAAATAAAACGAATGGATGGCAATATCCAATTGAATGTGTCAGTGACTTAAATGTAGTTTAAAGAATGATTATATATATCCACAAGTGAATAGTCATAGAATTGTCAGCTTGAGGAACAGCAAGAAATTGTATTGAACCAACAAATACATTAAGCAAATTCTTTTGTGCAAAACCATATTATCAACAAAAGTGACATATTTTTGGGGGGATAAATACTCAACTGAAAAAAGGTAAAATAGAGAAAATAAATCTGCCTATTCATTTTTCGTTGCATTAATACAACTTGTTATTTTAAGATAAGACCCACTTTGACTTCTAATACATACATATACAAGTTTAAAATGTTATTTTACAATATACTTATCACATTACTGGTACCTTAACCACACCCAGACAATACATTGTCCATTCCTGTTTTACTGGTATAGTACACTGACAAGAAGGCATTGTGTACACTAATAACTATACCCTCCACACTTTCAAACAGATAATAAAGTTCACAACTATTCTTAATACCATTGTATCACAGACAAAATAGATGAATCTTGGTTAAACATTGATGAGTTTAAATTAAGGCAGTAAAACACTTAGTGTACATACAGATCAATATTTCAATACCATCTTTAAAAGCCAATCTATTAATTAGATGTAGAATTATATCCCTATATAAGTTTTCCTTGACTTTTCATTGCCATGGCATAACTAGATTCAAGAATACAAATCTAATTTAATCACAAACAAATCAAATAAATGAACCTCAATACCATAAGACATACATACTGTACCTTCTACACTCACTTTACATAATGCACATGTATATGAAATAATTTAACCATCCTTCTACAGAACTTTAACATTCAGTAAGAATTCCAAATAATACCTCCTGCTGCATTCATACATAAAACCATTGGAGCAATCTAGATTTTAAATAATAACAGAGTTATGGCTTGTAAATAAAATATGCAGTGTATGTATTCAGAGATACCTTATGAGCTAGCACAAATGTCCTTATACAATGAGGCAATATATCTTAGCAATATAACAAAAACACTTCCACAAGTACTAGTTCTACAGTTACACATTTGGCAATATCGAATCCAATTTTCAAGCCATAATTTTGGAAGTACTTAAAATCAAGATTATCTAATCATGTTTATCAAACAGAGTCTATTTTTAGTAATCTTGTACATCACTAGAATGTCATGCTTACAAACTTTTAAATACTATTAAAGCATTGAATTGCATATGTAGTTTTATCAAAGTGCAACGTAGTAATACATAAATAAATACTTAAAGTAAGTGTACTTGCACAAAGAAACACTTTCTAGAAAAACAAAATGTAATAAGTACTCCACTCCAATATAATATAACCAAAACATAAAACTTGTAACAAGAATGGAGTGATAACATAGAATAACAGGCTTCTAACATAAGGTGATAGGTCGTGTATCAAGATTCAAGACAAGTTGATGGTAACAACATATAAAGTAGATAGTGAAGCCGTATATGTGATCAGCCTATGCACGTAATTACATGCATCAGAATATGATTAGATGTTTTTCTGCATAAAGTGAAATGAGCTCTTATGCAAAATTAATTGCACCGATTGCAAATCATATTTGTTACCGACATACTACATGAGAATAGAGTGTATACTGGTATGTACATTTTATACAATTCAAATGTTTGTTCATTGACAATCTCTCTTCTCAACAATTTTACAAAAAACTTTTGTCTTTCCCTATGGCTCGATACAATGCTAATTCCACTTTCCCTTATATACATGTTTACATTGACACAATGGGAATATCATTTCAATAGTTGTATACGGACAAGTCACTAATAGTTGTACCAACACAATCAAATATGATCAAGTTTTGTGGCATGAATCTATTACTTCTGTTTAATCATGCCAAGTATAATAATATTGAGGCGTAGTTATTTTACAGCACAAATGAATTCAGAAATTCTTTACACTAGAAATTCAATTTTTTGAATAATTTTCGGAGTTTATATAAAATGATTTACTCTTTCTACAGGTCTACTGGATAAATAGAATGAAGAGAAAGATGTGAGAGAGAGAGAGAGAGAGAGAGAGAGAGAGAGAGAGAGAGAGAGAGAACAAGAGAGGGAAGGGTTGAGACAAATGAAGGAGGTGAAGACAAATATCTTTCATTTTCATTTTTATAAAACATTTCATCCTTGGGTTTCGTTAAAAATACTCTTTAAAGTCGGCATTCTCCTATCAAAATATCTCTTCAGTTATCAACCCTCCTTCTTTGTAAAATACTAGTACTAATATAACATACTATATACCATATATATACAGAAAAGGCAGAGTTAAATACCAATTCCAACATGCTTTGGACATTTCTTTACATTCATGCTCTCACTATCCTTACACACACAAATATGGTCAATAATTGTAAAAGGCCTGACAGTATAAATGCTTTAGTTCTCTTTGACCAAGATTCCTAGTTTCCCATTTATACATGTAGTAGATTATAATCTTTATACAATATTACATTAATCACACATACAAGACAGTTATAAGCCCAATCAATAAAAATAAAGAAATTGCCAACTACAAAAATTAATCCCATGTCCTTTCTTTATACTAAGGCAAAACAAACTAAAACAAGTGGAAACAACAAAGAGCTGTTTCTCACAACGGTCACATTCCTGCCATGCCATACCATTTCCACACGCTACAATTCAAATCTAATTACAGGATTCTCTGAGTATAAATGATATTTGATCAAAGAGAAGCAAAGCAAGTATTGGTCAGAGATTGCACCCTGTAAGTCAAACAATGTTTTGTTGTTTCAAGCTGCCATGATGATGGTGGGAGTAAGGCCCTTTTGTGATGCTTCAATCTTTACTTTCCTGATTCAATGTCTGCTCCAAGGTTGATATTACCTGGACCAAATAAAAAAAAAAGAAAGACAGATTGTCAGGCTCATCCTACAGTTGAATGTGTACAACATATTGACTTCATGTTCATTTCAAAACCCTATGGTTTTATGTGTGACCATGTGTATGAGTATAATCCAGTTTGATATACCAGTTTAAATTCTTCCCTTTCTAGCCAAATATTGTAGTCTACATAATACTCTGACACTTTCGACACCACTGTACAATCCAAATCCAAAGTTGACTTCAAATTCAGGTCTAACCTCATGTGTTCTTCATAATCCAAATATGTCTTAATCCATTTCTAATCTGTAGCTTAATCCTGGTATCAACTATTTATTTAAGAAGATAAGCCCAAGAATGCGATGGATGGTGGTGGTGGTGGTAGTGGGTGGTGTTGTGTTGGTGGTGGGGGGTGTGTGGGGGATGTCAAGGTAATAGGAAGCTCTCCTCACCCCTTTTGTTGTGGAATGAATCATGGCATACCTGCATCTCCATTGTTCCTTCCAACTGAATAGTGACATGGTGATTGTTGGTGTTGATGGTGTTATATGAAGCTCCTGCTGTTGCACTAATGCTGCCATGCAGATCTCCATTGACTGAAAGGATAGTATAGTGGTAAAGTTATTCAACTAGAAATATTGATAAGATAGAGTGAAAATCCAGTGCTGTAAAGCACTATAGTAACTAGACACTCTTCACAATATATCTTCATTGCTTTAAAGAGCTTTTCAGAGCATAACTCAGATTTGAATCTTCATGACAAACATATTCAGATATATAATTGTGAATAATATAGGTGGAATAAATCTTTAAAAAACCCAATGCAACATGTGAACATTCATCTCTAGCATGCCCTCTCTCCCCTTAATATCATAACAAGTGAAATGCATCATTCATGCTGACACATCCATTAAACTACTGATTTCCTAGGTACATTTTATGAGCACAGGAAGATCATAAAATAGAGCTACTTACTCTTAATACTCTTAACATGTGTAAAACATGCATTTCCTAAATGATATTTCTGCTATGCTTTTGTTGAACCGTTTGTAGTTTGCTGTCTAAACATCCAATCTACAAATGTGCACAGGGCACAGGGGCATCCTAAATCTAAGTCCACACCCCTAAAGTTTCAATAATTGTTCTAATATAGAGCTCAACATACATGTACCAAAACTACAAAGAATAATCTGGAACTTTCGAAAAAGCTAGTGTGGAGCCTCCTTTATGCCAGTTAGATCTGAATGGACTACTACAGACTAACTCGAGCTAGGCGTTAAGCCTTTATAATCTATATTAAAAAATAAATAAAAGTCTTAGGTAATTCTTACCTGAATCTCCTTGTCCTGTCTTCTTCCATTCCACTGAGTACATCACTCTCCACACCATCATCCAGCAGCCTGTCTGAATCATCATCTTACACTGTACTGGATACACTACACCATCCCTTTGCTGTAAATAGAACATTAACATTGTAACAAGTATCATCAAACACTAGGACTGAATCCTCCTTACACTGTACTGAACACTACACCATCCCCTTGCTGTAAATAGAACATTAACATTGGTTAACAAGTATTGAACATCAACACTAGGACTGAATCCTCCTTACACTGTACTGGATACACTAACCATCCCCTTTGCTGTAAATAGAACATTAACATTGGTTAACAAGTATCATCAAACATAGCACTGAAATCCTCCTTACACTGTACTGGTACACTACACCATCCCCTTTGCTGTAAATAGAACATTAACATGGTAACAAGTATCATCAAACACTAGCACTGAATCCTCCTTACACTGTACTGGATCACTACACCATCCCCTTTGCTGTAAATAGAACATAACATTGGTTAACAAGTATTGAATCATCAAACACTAGCACTGAATCCTCCTTACACTGTACTGGTACACTACACCATCCCCTTTGCTGTAAATTAGAACATTAACATTGGTTAACAAGTATTGAATCATCAAACACTAGCACTGAATCCTCCTTACACTGTACTGGATACACTACACCATCCCCTTGCTGTAAAAAGAACATTAGCATTGGTTAACAAGTATTGAATCATCAAACACTGCACTGAATCCTCCTTACACTGTACTGGATACACTACACCATCCCCTTTGCTGTAAAATAGAACATTAGCATTGGTTAACAAGTATTGAATCATCAAACACTAGCACTGAAACCTCCTTACACTGTACTGGATACACTTCACCATCCCCTTTGCTGTAAATAGAACATTAGCATTGGTTAACAAGTATTGAATCATCAAACACTAGCACTGAATCCTCCTTACACTGTACTGGATACACTACACCATCCCCTTTGCTGTAAAAAGAACATTAGCATTGGTTAACAAGTATTGAATCATCAAACACTAGCACTGAATCCTCCTTACACTGTACTGGACACACTACACCATCCCCTTTGCTGTAAATAGAACATTAACATTGGTTAACAAGTATTGAATCACCAAACACTAGCACTGAATCATCCTTACACCGTACTGGATACACTACACCATCCCCTTTGCTGTAAATAGAACATTAGCATTGGTTAACAAGTATTGAATCATCAAACACTAGCACTGAATCCTCCTTACACTGTACTGGATACACTACACCATCCCCTTTGCTGTAAAAAGAACATTAGCATTGGTTAACAAGTATTGAATCATCAAACACTAGCACTGAATCCTCCTTACACTGTACTGGACACACTACACCATCCCCTTTGCTGTAAATAGAACATTAACATTGGTTAACAAGTATTGAATCACCAAACACTAGCACTGAATCATCCTTACACCGTACTGGATACACTACACCATCCCCTTTGCTGTAAATAGAACATTAGCATTGGTTAACAAGTATTGAATCATCAAACACTAGCACTGAATCCTCCTTACACTGTACTGGATACACTACACCATCCCCTTTGCTGTAAATAGAACATTACATTGTTAACAAGTATTGAATCACCAAACACTAGCACTGAATCATCCTTACACTGTACTGGATACACACTACACCAGGCATCCGCTTTGCTGTAAATGGAACAAGAGTACTGAATAACAAGTCATCATGCAGAGTGAACTACAAAATCCTGATAGCACTGAACCAAAAGACACTAGCACTGAATGTTCCTTGCAGTGTACTCATACACTACACCATCACCTTTGCTGCAAATGGAATGAAATGGAATCCGTAAATTCACGGATTGGGGGTTAAGCACTAAATACAAGGTTGGCTATCTTAAATAGCAATAATTACCACAACAGATCAATCAATAAAACAAAACAAAACAGATTGATTTAAAACAAAAACTTTATATACTTCTTTATTAGTAGAATGTGAATACATACCTTGTGAACATAGGAAGAGCCAGTAAAGTTTCTTATCTCCAAACACTTCTTTGAAGTTATCACCGAAGCTGCCATGACTAAACCCTCCTGTCTGGACCATGGGGCGGAACACAGGAGCACGGAAAGATTCTTCACAAATAAAACAAAACGTCGTTAAAATCTCGTATAAGTTAACCTTGTAGATATTAAATATGTTGATAGATTATGGGTACCGGTACTCATAAAGTCCAAATATGTAGGGTCAGTTTTGCATCAATAAGGCCTAAAATAAAAACTGTTGTATCGCCCTTGGGTGCCAAAACATGGGTCGGTCGGTCGGAAAAGTTTTTTTTTAAAACTTTTTTTGTTGTGCCCTCTTTGGGCTGATTTTGTCAGTTTTCAATTTTTTTGGGGGTGTTTTTTTCCCGCCTCTTTTGGCTTATATTTCTCAGTTTTCAATGCTTTAATACATGTGTTTCAGCGTTATCATTCCATTCATATCTTTTTCACCTCATAATAATCCATGGTTTGCAATGTTGTGTTGATCGAGATGATTGCGCTAGTAGGATTTTGAAACTAGGGCAGAAGACGAGAGAGAATTTGGAATGATTTGATTTTATGTATTTATATCCCATTTATCCCAACAAACAAAATACATATTTCTTTATTCACTAAATTTTTTAAAAAAAATCTAAAAAACGGTTTTAAAAAAAAAAACTTTAAAAAATGCCGACGCGTAATTTTCGGGTCGGTCGCAAAGGGCAATACAAGTTTTTATTTTAGGCTAATGACAATGCAAACTTGAACGAGATATATTGGAAGTACATGTAATTAGTCTGAATGCATTTGTTATTAAAAAGTGCAGTAAAGAATTGAAGATTAACACAGCATCTGTTCATTAGTAGAATATACAGTATAAGGTGAAACATGAGAACATGAAGGAAAAATACACTTCAATTTATCAAAGTTTCCCTCAAAGCAAAGACAAGACAATGTACAGTAATGTATGTTGATGATCATGGAAATAGAGAAGTCAATCAAGCAAATGAGAAAAGGAAGAATAAAGCATTTTGTTAATCATTCTAAAATGGGGATATATCTAAAAGAAAATGATTCCTACCCACTTGTAGCAAACAAAAATATGAAATACCAGATCAAAGATGAAAACAAACTTCATGCCCGCAATAAACTTTATTTCATGCTAATCATGCAGGAGGGAAGCTAGAGCAATGGTTTCTACCAGCATCAAAGAAAACAAAACATGCAGATAAAATAAAAGTTCTATCATGCACTCTTTAATGGCTGTCAAATAGTAGCAGTGTCATTTGAGGTTGAGACTATTTCGCCAATTCCTTTAAATTAATTTTCATTTGATATCATACCTGTCCAATACCCAATCTAACTCTCAAGAATCTTTCACAGTGCCACATTAAGGTAAGTAGCTAGAAACGGTTCATAAAGATTCATATTGTGTTTTATATCTATTTGTGCAAGACTTGGATGAAATAAGGACCTGCGCAAGGACAAAGGAATAAAGAGTAGAAAGTCTCGTGATGCATATGCATGTAGCGAACAAAATGAAGCATCCGTTGTATTCTGAGCAAGAACAGACTTTACATACTAGATATGAAGTACTGACTCCTTAAATAACATAGATGTGGTATAACGTTCAAGTATGACATTTAACCTTGTCTTGCATGCCAATCAATAGAATTAGTACCTTCACATCAGGTCTTTTCCTTTCTATTTTTACGTTTTATGATATTTCTTCAGACTTTATATTTACTTTGACAAAACGATACAGGAATTTGGTCCTACATTTGTATTATTTGACAGACATGACAAGTGCTTCAAGGTCTTTTGATCCAATTTACTGAATAAGATACATTCATTCTGAAACTAATGAATGAGGGAAAGTATCTATTCAAATAAAATGAAATATTATGCCAAACCTACAAAGATTTCAATTCCAACTTTTCCGAAGGTTCCTAGCAATTAAAAGATCAATATATCATTCCTTCTCTTTTTGGTCAATCGGCAGAATGTTCCATTTGTTGAAAGGAAGAAGAGCTTTAAATAATATCCAAATTCAAATATTAAAACAGCTAATAACCGTATTGAAAATCTCTATGGTAACTCGTTGCATATTTAACCATTTCTACACTAAAAAGGCACTCTCTTATCTTTAATAAAAAAATTCAGATGGCTACTTCTGTGGTCTAATTAGTAAGCCGATATATTTTCTTAGAGAATACAGTTTGTTACATGTTTTATTGGCTCAACTGACAATTAAAGTGGGTTATCTGGCCCAGGAGGATCATATGAAGAAGATGCTTTACTTTGTAGTTAGACCTGTAGAAGCTTACCCAGGGTGCTGCGATTGGTGAGACTGAGATGGGTGTGCATACAGCAGAGCACTGAGGTGCTAATACCAAACATGACCGCCGCAAAGAACAGGAAGAGGATATGAAAACGTCCACTCTCGTTTGACAGGCCGCCCTGGGTACATGTATATGGGTCAAGCATAGGTATGATGGCAAGGGAGGCAGGGAGGGAGGGAAGAAGCCAGTATAGATAGATAGGTAGGTATGGAGAGTGAAGAGTCATGTGATAGAGGTGAAGAGTCATGTGACAGAGGTGAAGTGTCATGTGATAGAGGTGAAATGTCATGTGACAGAGGTGAAGTGTCATGTGATGGAGGTGAAGGTTAGTACCATGTTAGAAAGTAATTAGCAAGTAATTAGCAAATAATTAGCAAGAGGCATGCAAGTCCATACAGAATTACAAGATGAAGTTGAAGGAGATAAAATATATGCATATTGTGATGATGAGGACAATGGCATACATTGTAGATGAATAAAAGACAGTAAAATGTTAAGGTTCATGTACAAGAAGTGAGGTATCATGGACATATTCAAGACAAAGAGAGCAGAAAGAAGGGATAGTAAGAACAATGGTGGTATGAAATGAAGGTTTTAGTATAATAATGAGATTAAAATGACATAATGATGAATAGGTGGAGATGAGCCAAGAATTGATTGATGTATCAAAATGAGAAGAGAAGATGGGTATGTAGTGTTTGGTTCAGTGTGTTTTGGGATATCATGAACAGCACAGAATAGAGCACATGAGAATGATAAATAAGAATGAGAATATTGGATGTGAATAATGAATGTGAATAATGGATGTGAATAATGGAGGTGAGTGATGAAGTAGAAAGTAAGATTCATGATAAGCAGATAATTTAAAGCAGATATAAAGTTAAAGCAGATATAGGATGTGAGTTAGCATGCCACATGTTATTTTCATTGCAATGAGGGGCGAAGAACCAAGATCATTATGCACAAGTTTTGTTTTAGGGAGGGAGAAAGAGAGACAAAAGAAAAACAAAATTAAAAGGATATTGCAAGATGAGTGGTTAGTGTTTCAAAAACACACCAGGAAAGGGTGGAATGCATCCAGCTTATTTTCTACCACTACAATCCAATAAGACATGCTGTAAACATTATCGTTATTCAAGGAAAGGGTATGGTTGAACTTGTCTATTCTAATCACTTTGCAGACCTATCTACTTTTTTTAGAAAGCATAAACACCATTAAACAGCATGAAATATCTCTGTAAAGGATATAGTGGTAAGAATAAGATTAAGATGCAGATCACCCTCTCCCAAAGTCACACTGTATATTACAAACAATGTCTCTATCCATGCAGTCAATATGTGCATTTTAATGTTGCATGACAGAAAACCATTTCATGTGTGGTTTCATTAATACATGTAACCATATTAACCACACAATCATCTCTGTTATATGACAGTGTAAAATGACTATGTTTTCACAGCCATTAATGCAGTGGTTTGACTACATGGATGAGAGACCGATTGGTTCCCAGGATGTCACCTACATGGATCATCCTGAATAATGGCAGTAGATAACATCTACCTACTTAACATGGTGCGTACATGTACCAATTAATGATTTAGGGGAGTCTATCAAGGCAAAGTTCACATGTTGATAGCTGAATTCTATCATTAAAGTGCTTCGAGAGGGCCTTTGGTCTTGAAATGCGCTATAAATGAACAAACTATTATTATTATTAATCTGGGCTTACTACAGGAATTATTCTATTTCCAAAGGCAGAGGGGCTACAATGACTATGTTAAGCCAACATCGAATAGCAAGATATTAAAGTGGTAGGCCTAAATTCTGAACAATATTACCAAAACGGAAATTACATAATATAATCTGATTTTGAATCGATCATACATTTTGCCATTGGTATGTTTATATTAGGCCAGACCATCTACATCATCTAGATCAGACAAGTTTATGACCTGTTGAGCACCTTGTTAATAAATAGATTACCTACTGCCACAATACAGGTGAATAGTAGAAGTACTAGGTCACCACACATTCCTACCTAACGTTGACTGATTCACACCACTCAGTCTGCAATGGACACAAAACAGTGCCGTAACGCTGATGGCAAACACGGCCGATAACAGAAACAAAAACATGACCTGGAATCCAGAAGACCCTTGATCACTAATGTCCTGTTAATTAAAAATACATTCTTGGGTAATTCTGTGTTTCTATTTCAATACATCCATAAAGACTTAAATCTAGAATTACCACTTACATGTATATAAAGTGCAGATCAAAAATATTCACTACTGTAGGCTGAGTATCCATTGCTTAAATGGGGACTTTCAGAAATCAATGATATTTCATCACCATAAATTATTCTTCCTTATATTTGCTGGTAAAAGTAGAGTACATTTTGTTTGTATTGCCTACATGTTGTATCACCAGCATCAAAATCATTGGTGAACATTCCTTTGAAATTGCTAGCAATCAATGTTAATAGACCACGAAGTAAGCCACATTAAGAACAACACTTTGACCTACAAATATTACTGTACCATAAATATGCTGGCACTTGATTTTGAAATATCACAATTGGTATACAATTGATTGAGATTACAGCCTCAAAATAAAATAAAATTATTGCAAATGTTGTTTACCCTATCGTATGACATCTCAGGAAGGCCCGTATTCGCATTACAATGAACGATGGTATTCCATAAAGCAATTATTTCCTTACAGCTGCACAAATAGCATTCCATGGCTACAATTTTAATAAGGTACACATTACCATTGACTCATTGTCATTACAAAAACACTAAAATGTTGATGTATTTTGAATTATTTATGCTTGTTGTTAATTTCTATAAATAGGACTTCTCACATATATTATGATTCTAAATTCTGCAAATAAAAAAAAAATCATAGTAATTCTCGCTACCCCAAATAGCGATTCTGCCGAGATCCGGGGAAAATCCTGAAAACGCGCATTGCATTATGGGATAGCTTTTCGACATTACAGCTTCCTGTGCAGGCGCGCGATAGCGCAAACGTAAAACGCCGTCGCCACACAACGTGTATGCACCGAATATGTCGTCTGCTCGGTCTTGTTTTTTTTTTGCAAATATTCAACGTTTATTGAACATTTCATTCATTGTTTTTTGCGTCTTTTGACGTCAGTGACGATGGTTTTCTTTTGTGAGGCTGCACAGTGCTGGGCTCATGATTCCAAGCGTAAGAACCCTGAAAAATGGGGGTGGATGAAGGCCGTGACTTGGGATGGGACTCTATACCGGAAGTTGTAGTGACGACCCGAAAGAGTGAAAATTACCTCGTCTCGCGAATTTCGAGATTTTTGTACCATATCATTTCATTTCACTCCAATCACAGTCATACATGTAAAATCAGTACACTTTCTTCCTAAAAGTTTACATTTGCACTCTGAGAAACATGTGACCACTATGCTAATAGGAAGTACACCAGCAATATTAAAGGGCATTTTTACAGCTTTCTATCATTTGTCTACATCTTCAAGACAAATCTCAAGAAATGTTTGGCATCCACACAAGATGATTTTGACCCCAATGAATTATTCAACTGTCCATGTACTTCATCAGCTGGACAGAGCCTTCTAAATAGAACATACTTCATCAACATAGCTACAGAGAGACAAATACGTTTTGTTTAACTTCAAGCCCTCATCCAAGGTATGGTATAGGGTACAATACCATGCACACTAACTTTCCTTTACCTGATTGTAACACTTCATAGTTGTGCAATTATTGTGGAAGTTTTATTCATATATTTACAGGGAAAGCCAGATGACACAGGTACACTTTGCCAAGATGTAATGTATCTCTCAATTACAGGTGACTTTTTGTTGACTTGACATAGTGTATAAGGAGAGTCATTTTCTCTGAGTCAATAGATGTTTTGTCAATTAAATCATTATGCCAAATAACTACACTGATAGAAATGTCTAAAATAAGCTTCTTTTTTGGGGGGGGGGGGGGGGAGAGGGGATGTTAATTATGTATAAACAAAAGGTAAACAAGTTCTAGACTCCCCCTTTAAATAAACTGACTTACATAAGAATGTCTAAATCAAGTCTTAGAAAATCATACTCACCGACCAGAACTGGATGAAGAAAGGTAGGACTGTGAGGGCGACGTACATACAATAAAAGACAGCGTAGAGAAGGAAGAGCACAAAGAATTTGTAGTTTGCGTAGCCTACACAGTTGTTCACCCATGGACAGTGATGGTCCATCTTCAAAATGCACCTGAAATTAAAAAAAAAGAATATGTTAGAACATGATCACCATAATCTGACCATAAATAATGAGTGGTAAGAAGAATGTATTCTAAATCTAATTAAAAAAAAAATTGGCATCAGGAAAGCTTTTCCCTGGTACTTAATTCTAAATAAGAGTTTGAAGGCTTCCTGTGCTTAACAATAGAACATTGGATATTTGCTTTACAGAAGTAGAGCTGAGATTAAACAAGCTTGGGGAGGCGGTTCTAAATGTTATCATTTCCCCAAGGACTACTCTTAATAAGCGATAAACCCCTAAACAAAATATTTAATTTGTGTTTGAATGATCATAAAAGATATGAGAATCCTGCATGTCCCTCTTGAGATGGTGTAGCTTATGGAAAAGTCATACACCCAATGAACAGTGATCACATGATTATGAAAGACAAGCCCCTAATCAATGACATACGACAACATTCCCAGGTAATATCAAGGAGGGGGGTTACCATTGATTACCGATCCGTCTCATTCCTATAGCACACCTGCCAACATTTGAAAATTAAAATTAGGAATTTTTAGAACGATATGCCTTCGAAAATAAGAAATCGCATTTGCAGCGGCAGTGTAACTGGAAATTCCCAGTAACTCTGTACCAAAAAGTAAATACAAATTTGCTTCTACTTCTACTTGTATGGTAATACTCATCAACGCCTGTTCAGCATCTAGATGAGGGTAAAGCAGAGAGTTGTTATATACAGCTCTATGCGGTACAGTTCCTGATAAGGGAACTAAATTAACATGTAGTTTTTAGCTTCTAACAACCTTAAATTTGTTATGCAAAGACTGATCACTTAGCTTGAGAAAGTCCACAGGAGTGGACGAAAGCTTGCATAACAAATTTAAGGTTGGTAGAAACTAAAAACTACATGTTATCATTATCCCCAACTGATGAAAGTTTTTTGGAAACTAAATTGTTTGATCGATCATGCAGCTATTCAAAACACACAATACATGAACTATCAAATCGCGGCACATGATAAAACAAGCTTAATTTGGCCTTAGCACTAAAAAACAAAACAACAGAATATTCCAGATTTTCAGGTTCTAGAAATCCTGAAAAACAGAATATTCCGGATTATTTGTACGGGTTGGCAGGTATGCTATAGGCTTAGTTCAGGGACCACCTGGTTCCCATAGACGATGGGTTAATATGGATTCTATCATTAAGACATGTCTGGGGAAGCCAATACCACAAGGTGAAGATGGTATTTTAAAATCAACAACTTACTTGTTACATACTGAACAATGATGACATCTATCTGGCTTGATTGCTTTGCAACTGTTGCAGAATCTCATACCTACATGTACAGAAAATAATTGAAATAAACATTGCAAAGATCACTGAAATGTGAATGACATATACAAGGAAAATATAAATGTAAATCTGTGAAATAACAGATTTTTGAATTTTTGAAGATTTTTTGCCAAATTTTATAAAACAGATGATGCACGGGTTTAATTTGTGGGTTGTTGGAATTGTGTGCACGCGGTACCTTTGAATTCGGTCTAAACCCTTGCGGTTGGTTCGGTTTGGTTGAAACCATTCAAGGTACCTTGTGCACACAATTCCTACAGACCCACTCAAACCTGTGCATCAGTTGTATACTAATGAAACAATACGTTCCTTATTATTCATGTATGTCCTTGTATTTCACAAGCATTTAACTAACTACTACAAACCTTTTGTTATTTTTCTCTCAATGAAATGTATCTTTCACTTGAATTATGATCAGTTTCTACCTATCAAACTCTAGTACACCGAATGAAACATATAAATACAGGTTACAAGCCTCGCCAAGGAAAAAAATGTCATACCTCTCCCCCCCCCCCCCCCAAAAAAAAAAAATGTTGTAGTACCTCAGTAGTCTTTCTCAAGAATCTAATGTAATGACATCAATTATGTGTAGTGTGCTACAGTACATACATACAGAGATCATTTGCACCACAAATCGGTAGGGAGTAATTCCAAACAGTCAGTAATAAAAGACTCTCTGAATAATAAGTAAAAGTTAGTAATCTACTAAAGACAGGACTTACCTCCTCCATATGTCCTTGTAAAGACGGGTAACCTCTTTTCTCGACATATTTCACGAAGAATCTCAACTTGATTTTCTGTTCGGTCTTCACTCTCAAAGCGATGTAATTCTGAGCTACTCAAGAAGAACTATGCAGCACAAGAAATATGACATGAAATTCAATTACTACAATATCATCAAAATCAAGGGAACAATGACTTTAATGTTATCATGAACAATGTGGCAAACATTCAGCTTAAGATTAATTCAGACATTAAATTTGTTAACTTTTATTTAAATCATCAACAAGAAGAGAACTCACATGCAATGTCATTAGGAGTGCTCCCCAAATTTTAAGAGTGTATTTTTAAAAGAAATATTAACATTTATATGTTCATTGTACACGTGTCACAATCACAAGGAACATAAAACTCCCAACTTATACAGTTATAGCAGAACTTCAAACAGTAGTAACCACATGTAAATGTATATGTATATACACCATGTACCACATCCTGCTTATACACAAAAGGGAAGCTACCAGATCATGTGATATTATCCTACTTTTATCATTACAGAGAATTACTGAGAAATGCAAATGAAATGTAGTGTCTTTAAATAGAAAAGGTGATTAATCTATATCAAAATTGGGGTCACAACATTTACATGTACATGTATTGTACTCAAATACACATTAAAAAAATGCCAAAGTATAAATCACAATCAATTCAACTAGGATTGTATACTATTTTTGAGTACCTTAGATGAATTCATGAACACACTTAATTTAGTTTCCCATGAGTGCCGTATTGATAAATAAGGAAAACAATTAAAAGCATACTGAACAGTAAACAGAGTCCTATCGTCAATTCTATATCTTTTGCATTACTATACCCAAGATCATTTGACTTTGAGTGATTCTATGAAATGTAGACCACAACAAACTGTAAATCTTTTTGTTATCATAATTACACAATTGACTACTGATTATTTTTCTTTCTTCATTGTTCTGCTCATTCAAAAATTTTTTTTATTATTTTAGTTTACTTTTGACTTCCTGGTATCACCAACAGTAGCGAATGTCATATCAAGTGATTTTCATATTCGGATGAAATACATGTAAATGGTGAGACTAAACTAGTGTTGCATGGGGCACTACTGCATATGCATGTAGTCATGTGTGTATGATTTCTACTTGTATTCCATTGGATTTTTAAGTATACCGGTAGTTAAAATTGTACATTGTTTAAAGCCATTGTCCAACATTGTTAACAAAATTTTCAATACACATTAAGTAAGTAATGGATTCAATATTTCTTTTGTGTGTGTACTGACGTGCAACAAAAATGTGTTTTCAGTAATACTCCCTTATGGAGGATTGATCTTCACAAAGTTGATAACAAAAACATATTCTCAAATCATTATGATTCATAGGAGTACGCTCTAGAAATGGGTCTAACAGACTAATCAATAAATTCAGCAAAACAATCCTTTAAACTGAACTGAAGAAAGTCATCTAATATATTCAAAATCTCAGTGTACTTACCCGTTCTGGTATAACTCTGAGCGGTGTGAAGACTGTTTGCCAGTAAGACCAACAAAACATTGCCAGAAACACATGGTAGAACAACAGGTAGAATACTGGGGGGAAATGGAAACAAAATTATAGCAATTCCTGTTTAAATCCTACACATTACTAAACAGAAAGGTGAAATGTGTTCTAAATTTGTTCTCCTGAATAACATGTCATGTCATGATAGTTTGAGCTCAGAGGTTGTCAATATGAAAATTGTAAATGTATCCTAAATAAAATTTAAACAAAATTATGACAATTGCTTTTATCATTTCATTTTTTTGAAAACACTAAATACAAGGTTAACATACAAATCTCATAAAAAAGCATGTATGTTTTATATGGATAAGAGTACAAAGAAATATTTAAGAATTCTGCAGTAAGATTAACTCTTCCCCCAAAAGAAAAAAAAGAACTCACCCATTTGTGCATATCTCTGATCTGCCTTAGCAAGAGTGACTAGAAAGAAAATAAAATAAAGAAACATATTCAAAATATACATTAAAAGTGCTCATGTTTAATAAATGTTGTAATATCTTAGTAAAATAAATCGATACCAATTTGAAAAAGGGGGTGATTCTTCGTCCTGCCCTGACGATTCTTCTATGTTGTATCGTCGATTCAACATGGCAAAGAGAAAGTATGCATGGACGCATGCGCGGTAGCGGTGCAGCAAATATGAATGCGTGAGTACTTTCTCTTCGCCATGTTGAATCAACGATACAACATGGAAGAATCGTCGGGGTAGGACGAAGGATTACCCCCTTTTTCCCCATCAAAGACCCTCTTCAAATTATAATTTGAAGTGGCCTGCGAGACGCCTAGAGGAGTCGAGCAACCTCGTAAGTCAAAATTGCAATTACTCCCTTTGCATATTTTGAGATGTCGCCCAACCCGCTGTTTGAATCGTTTTCCTATACAGCCTCTGGAGTTAGTTGCGCTTAAGTTAAGTAGGCCCTCTCTCACTTAAATTCGAAGCCACTCGAGCGGATCGGCCAATAAAGGCGCGTAAACTCACTGTACAGCGCTCAATGCGCAAAGTTCTTCGTGCGTGACGCAACGTTCACTGTCGCCCTTTTTAATAGCCCAAACTCATACTAGAGTAAGACCGCCAAACTCCGAAAACACTTAAGACAAAACAGGGGAAAACATTAAATTCTTTTTTAATTATTGAAAGATCAAATATACTATTATTGTGCAAATACTGTTTATGTATGTCAGTAAAAAAAAAAATTGGTAAAGGAAATGGAAAACTAGAATTATTTACGTACCCGTCGAACCTTCTTTCATGCCAAGCTTCGGACGCACTTACCAAGCTTCGGACGTTCATTTGTAGCGCACGTATAGCGCGCGCTAAAGTGCACATTCATCGGAGGTTTGGAAACCAGATCAAAAATGGTACGACGGGGGTAAGTTTGACTGAAAAAAAGCATTATTTTCTCGTTTTGGGTAGATTTAAGTTAGGTAGAACTATCAGAAAGGTGTTTTTCACAACACTCACACAATATTTTGGTGCTAAAATCTTACGAAAGTGCTATTTTTTTTTAGTCAAAATGACACTCAATGTTGCCTGTCCGAAGCTTGGAAGAGCGCCATCTTCCGGTAGGGGAACCTGTATAGTACCCCTAGGTCCGTGGTAACGGCCGCCATTAGAAAATTTTCGCGATAGAGTGAAAAAGTATCTCATAAGCTCCCATAATTTGGGCAGAAACCACCTGAAATATGCCAAGGATTTGTTTGTAATCGATATATTGGAGGCTCTACACCTAAAGCTCCCCTGTTAAGGGACTGTAAAAATCTAGGTAACCAGAAATCTGTCTCTGAATTCAATGTTTTTTGTGAGGATTGCAGACGGCAACCTGCCCTAACTTTCTGTACTAATGATATAGGTTAGTAGTAGTATCAAATGCATGCAAGTTACCCGCCTGAGCTAGGCTCATATTTTGCGTTCGAGCCGTTGAAGTAATTTTTGTCCGAAGCTTGGCAACGTCCGAAGTTTGGCGGTCTTACTCTAGATCTATTTCTAGTCATGTGCTCTATATGCATTATTATGATAATACTTTTCAATTTGACAATTAACATGATTCATGATTAGTGCTAACGTTAGGGAGGCCAATGCCCGGGCGTAAGGCTTTTGCGCCTACGATTCGTGCGCTCGTCGTCCAAGTCAGAAAATTACCAGAAGAAAAGAATAAAGAAAAAAAATATCTAGACCCCTCTATAGTATAAAATATAAAACAAAAATACAATTGTACACTCCACAACATACCTATAAACACGGATCTGTAACAGCCTTTCACCATTTGTTGACGATCTTGTATATTTTGACGTATTTGAATCCAATAATTGGGCTAGCAGACAAAAATAACGCGCGCACAAGAGGAACTAGAGGGGTCCAAGAGGGCGCGGAGGTTAGCTCACTAAAATCCTTCTCAATGACTGAAGGTAGAGCCTAAAAATATGGAATCAATTTAATATCAAAGAACTTTTGATAGAGATTAACATATCAGATGTGCACAAATGTCACTTTTAACAACTAGAAAATAGGCTTGAGTCGGTACGGTCGATCACACCGGGACCCGACCGTTGCCGTCGGGTCCCGGTTTCGTTTTTTGAGAACCGACGCTCCGAAAAAAAATAATGAAATATGTAAGAAATTGTAGTTTTGCACACCACTAAAATCAATCACCTTAAAACTTTAGTATTTAATTGTTACCAATCATTTTCAAGCTCATCCTGAATCAATCCGAACTTCTGATATAAATATGGGTTGCAAAGGAGTTCGCCCCATGGCATGGGGTTGTTGTTGCCAGCTGCTAGCTAGCTACTGTACTGGCCGGGTCTCTCGGCAGGATTAATAAATCAGGTTGAAAGAAAAATTGATGTTTGAATAATAAAACGGCTTTCTAAAAAGTACTTCTTTACAACATACCAATCAAATAATTTTTAAAAGACGAAATAGATATTTTTTCTTTGATTTTGAACACCGCATGCTTCTTTTAAAAGCTGAAAATTACTTGGTAATCACAAGAAGTTTCGATATGGATAGCTGTTGCAAGGCAAGTTCAGACTAGTCTCGGAAAAATGCGCAGTGCTCCTCGTCATTAGCTGTAATGCGTGCCAGAACGAACCCAAACAAAGACGTGATCGTAACGAGAAAAAAATCATTAAAAACTACGAGAGCACAATTGGAAAGACAACTACTCAAAATTATCGTAAGAAGATACAAAACTTGGAGGAAGAATACAATAGTTGTCCAAGAAAAGCCACAGAAATAGTGATATTTAAGGAGTTACTATAGGTACAATCATTATCGGAATGGGCCTGCTGATATGTCCGAATTACACGTGTTTGAACACGAGGCTAGAATGAAACCAAATACCGCCCCCTCTACGGTAAAAAGCAGTATAACATAGGATTCGAGTACTTGCAACAGGCCTTGCGATAAAAATGTACCCAGTTACTCCTCGATTATCACAATTTCTGTGGCATTTCTTGGGCGATTATTGAATTCTTTGTCCAAGTTATGTATCTGATTATGGTAATTTTGAGCAGTAGTTGTCTTTCCAATTGTGCTCGTAGTTTTTAATGATTTTTTTTCTCGTTACGATCACGTCTTTGTTCGGGTTCGTTCTGGCACGCATTACAGCTAACGAGGAGCACTGCGCATTTTTCCGAGACTAGTCTGAACTTGCTTTGCAACAGCTATCCGTATCGAAACTTCTTGTGATTACCAAGTAATTTTCAGCTTTTAAAAAAAATCATGCGATGTTTAAAATAAGAGATAAATATTTATTTTGTCTTTAAAAATTATATGATCGGTATATTGTAAAGAAGAATTTTTTAGAAAGCCGTTTTATTATTCTAACATTCATATTTTTGACCAGATTTATTCGACCTGCATAAATCAAACTGGCGGCTCGAATGTTGTCTTTCGATTTTTGCCTCAGTTTTTTTACTTTTAGAGGCACGATAATGGCACTAAACATCGCCAATCATGGATAAAAATAATGTCAAATGGAAAAATATACCAATCTGAGCCGAGGTATGCATGTGTTGATTTATTTGATTGACAAAAAAGGTCACTTTTAAGGGACATACTGATGATAATAATCATGATTTGTGCTTTTTATAGAGGCAAGTGACAAATCTTGCGAGCTGACTTCGGGACACCGGGTCCCGATCGGTGCGAGGCCGTCGGGACCCGGTTTATGAAAATCCCGACATGACTCAGGCCTACTAGAAAATATAAAGAAAAAATATTATATCTTTTTAAATTCAGATTGTTACAAACTGCACATTCGAAGGTAGATAGAGTACGATGTTTCTGTCAATCTTGCGTTGGTTTGAGGCCAATAGCTACAGCCATCTCAAATTGAGAAGAAAAAATGTGAACAGTGATGTCATTGTTCAAGCCCAAAATAGAGGTATTGCGACATCATAATATGAATATGTATGAGCTCCGGTCCACGTCACGTGCCAGACATATCTCTCGTAGTCTCAGACACAGTACCTTATTCTCAGCACTAGACACCAATGTCGTGCAGTAATGTATGAGAAGTGTTAAAAAAGACATTTCAGTAAAAAAAAAAGTCTACATGAGCAGTCCATACTCCAATTGAGAAATGTAATGAATGCCATGATTTGAACGTGTGTGTTTTAGTGTATGATTTGGTTAGTGAGAGAGAGAGAGGGAGAGAAATATCTCCGTCAGTACACGTCTATCATATGTCTGCGTACGTTGGATGCGTGCAGTGACTGCAGTCCTATTGACTATGTTTGATTCCGTATTGTGTTCGCTGCAAGTTGGATTTATCGATCGTTGATAATGCAGTGTCAGATTGATCTTTACTCGTGAGGAAATAGTAATAAGAATACATCTCAAAACTAAGGTAGGCCTATTTATTTATTTCGATCACTTTCTTAGTTTACAATGAGTGGCTTTCGAGCTTTCTCTCTATTATGTTTTGACCCTCCATGCCATGGCTATTTCAGGATTTCAGGATTGCGGCTTGCATGCAATTACCGTACCTGGCCTGTAGTACTGTGTCGGTGTGTGCGACCGATTCAAGGCTGATGAATGTACTTTCGCGCGCAGTTTTGAACTTGTTGTTCGGGCAATGACACGCCCTATTCCCTCGGGCCTGTCTAATTCTCGACATAATTTTCGGGGACATGAAATTGATTGTTTCAAGGCTCTTACGTACGGCCAGGCGTACGTAGAAGGAGGGCCTAGACAATAGCTGAATATCTCCCATTTTATGGAACTTCTGGAGTCGGCAGATGGGCGAGTTGTCTTAGTGAAAGAAAATCCTTTCTTTTAATGTTTGTTTTATTATAAACAAATTAGTAATTAAAATGTTAGATTTGGGCATTGGCCTCCCTACTAACGTTAGTCTCTCTCGAGCTCGAGCTTGGGCAGCGTTTCATGAAACTGCATAACTACAACAAGTTCACAGACATCCAATTGAAACGTGTGTTAAACAATAATACACTCATTTCAATGGGATGTCGGTGATGTAAACTTGTACTTATGACGGTTTCATGAGACGCTGCCCAGGACTCTGGAGGGTTGTTTCGTGTGGAAGATCATTGAATTGGCATAGGCTCAGTCACTCACTCAGCTCACAGCACAGTGACTACACATTTACTTACGTAGCGTAGTACGGTACCGTATGCATGTAGGCCTAGGCCTATGCAATGCTAATGCCTTTCGCCAGTCACCCAGTGGCAGTGCAGTGGCAGTGCAACATGAAACATATTTTTCACAGACACACAAAGAGGAATCTAGTAAAAATACTTACATATACACAGTTCAACAACATAGGCATAATATGACCATGCTATAACAGCTGATATGAAAATTACGGGAATCCACCCGACGACTCTCATACAGTTTTGAAGCGCACCCATCTTTGGAGGACTGTCACGATCACAACATTGCAGTAACAAAGTATACAGTGTAAATCGTACGTACGTACGCACGTAAGCGCACACCATATACAAGGTCGAAGGTTAAATGCGAACGCACTTCAATGAGTGTGGTGTGTGACGTTTTAATCACGCAATTTCATATATTTATACATGAATTTGTGTTGCCTATAATCTAAATAGGCCTATCATAAAAAAGTAGAGAGAGAAGAAGCAGATGAAGATGAGGAATAGAGAGAGAGAGAGAGAGAGAGAGAGATGGGGGGGGGGGGGGGAGGAGGAGCAGCCGACTAATGATTGATAAATCTACATTGAGGCATTCCAAACCGGATCTTTAAAAGTATAGGCGTATTAAAAAAAAAGAAGAAGAAGATTAATATACATTTCCATAAATACAGACATAAATATATAGGCCGTATATATATATATATATATGCTAGTGAAGTTTTATCCATGTCTCTTGTGAATTCCATATAGCGTTAATGTGAATCGATATAGGCTACATGCAGTGGACTGGCGGATCCAGGGGGGGGGGGCGGGGGCCGATAGGCCGTGGCTCCACTATATATTGGCGGCGTAGAAAAAAAGGAAGAAAAAAGAGGAGGAAAATAAGAAGAGAAAGAGAAAGGAGAAGAGAAAAAAGGAGAAAAGATTAGAAAGGAGAAGAGAATAGAAAAGAAAAGAGAAAAAAAGAAGAGAAATGAAAAGAGAGAGAGAGAGAGAGAGAGAGAAACAAGAGAAAGAAAAGAGAAAATCCGGGTTAGAAATTAAAGGGAGAGAGTTACAAGTAAATGGCTCTAATAGCGACAAATAAGGGGAACAACTTTTTTTTTTTTTTTGGGGGGGGGGGGGGGGCAGGTATGAAAGAAGCAAAACATTAACTTGAAAACGGGAAATATTGATATCGGATTAGAGACGTGACATGAGCCTGCCCCCTTTTCAAAATGTACATGATTTTGTAAAAATAATATATTCTCACATGATAAAACAAAACTTATATCTAATTAATTTCCATTTAATTACACTTCTGAAGTGTTAATTACCCCCCCCCCCCCACCCCCACTCCGGGGTCGTAGGGACCGCATGCGTGTTTTCAAAATCTCCGGTAAAGGGTCACTTTTCCGCGCGACAATGCCCGGCCCGCCATTGACTTTCACACCGGGGATAGAAGGATGCTTTCGCTAGGAACAAGCATACGCGTACCCTAAATAACACTGAGTGGTAGTCTGGGGTTAATTTCTTCATTTATTGTCCTGCTTTGCCCATTGCCCTGGGCCTTTTATGCTATATTGTGATATATCTCAAATCCAAAATAGTTGCCATATGAGCTTCGATTCATTGGTATTTCGACAACGAGAAGCTTGAGAATAATAATATTTCTGTAGTAATAGGGACTAGAATAATAACAGTACTAAGGTAAAGAATTGAATGTCAAGAAATGCACCCCGGGGCCATCATTTTGGTAAAATCACACCTGTATAATATTATAACCACCTCATCGAAGTCTTGTAATTAAAAAAAAAAGATGGCTAATTTTGTTATTTAAAAAAAAATAGTCTTAAGTATAATTGTATAGGGTTAATGGATACAAAGGATCTAAAAGTGTTGTAACTTTAATGACTTGATGTCAACTTCTTGCCCTAGCTAGGTTCACTGTAAGTGACAAAACAGAAATTGTCGGCCTATACGGCCTAAGACCTTTGAGGGACTGGGAGTCTTCAAGTAATCCTTATATTTTACCCCTGCCATTTATACAGCATATACCACTAATGATCTCTTTTCTAAGAGCACTAATAGAGGCAACGCTTTTGTTTCGAAATTGATTGCAGTTTGTCCCGATTTATTTTTAATGAGAATATGGCATATTAAAGCTCGCATCTAAGGCCCTAATTTAACCAGTCCATATTTCATTTTTGAGTTACAAAAAGCAAAGAAACAACTTTGAATAATTTAGTTGTTAACTGTAAATGTTTTACAGCCCACCTCTTATGTGTGTGTGAAAGGGTTCTAGGACAATTACACCCTAGGCAATCACTCCCGGAATACCCCCCCCCCCAGAAAACTACCCCTAAGGACAATTACCCCCTGGAAAATTACCCCGCGGTGAATAATACCCCCCGAGGACAATTATGATTTTTTGTTGTTTTGTAAATAGCAAATTGGAATGAAGCTCGCATTATATATTCCTCGGGAGTGATTGTCAATGGGGGTAGTTGTCCTCGGGGGGGGGGGGGGGTTAATATTATTCTCTGGGTGTAATTTCAGGGGGGTAATTGTCCGGGGGGGGGGGGGGGTAGTTGTCCTCGGGGGGTAATTCTCCGCTCCGGGGGATTATTTTCCGGGGGTAATTGTCATTGGGGGGTAGTTTTCTGGGAGGTTATTTTCCGGGTTGATTGCCCAGGGGGTACTTGTCCTGATAATGGTGTGAACAAGAGAGAGAGAGAGAGAGAGAGAGAGAGAGAGAAAGAGTCCGACAGGCGGAGACAGACATACATCAAAGGACTGAGGGAGAGATATAGGGAGAGAGAGAGTGAGATAGAGACGATATATATTTGCTCTTTAGTGATAAAAAATGTGTCACACGAGTATATAAGATTACTATTTTATTTGATTTGATTTAACTTACACTGGAAATAAATACAGGAAATACTATAATCAACAATACAACAAATACATTAAAATAACATTACAATTGAACTATGATCTTTTCTGAATAGAACGATGCCTTCAACTTGACTATAGAGCAACAAAAACAACTGTTGGTATTTCAACACATACATATACATAATAATTCCAAGTATTTACAGTGATTGGAAATTTTGAGGGCTTACTTTGAAAGTACATCTAAATAGGATTGTTACTGTGTCACACCATGGACCTATTACGGATGGACATTCATCGTTTTCTTAACGAATTCATTGTGATTGTCTCCGTCAATGTCGTCTCAATAACATTCCGTACATGTTTCTTCCCTTTGGTCTCATCATGGTCGCCGGCAAAAAGCCGAGACAGGATCAAGATAGTGATTTTACACATGTTAATCTACATGCGCAGAAGATAATTACTCGCCTAAATCATGGAAAATAGATGTGCAGTTCTGGCTTATAATCGGAAATTGTTGTTCCGTGTACTGTACACGTATTTTTTTTTGAAAAACATGTTGATATTACCAGATAGAGGTTATTTTTGAATTTTTTGGTTGTGATTTAAAATCCCGTTTTCCCCTATTTCCTCATAATATTCCAGAGTACTTACAACGCACAGGGCTGATACGGATCATGGCCTTCTAACTGTTTTATAAGGTCATAGGTGCAGGCGCGTACGCAGGATTTTTTCAAGGGGGGGGGGGGGGGTTTAACATTTTAAAATCGGGCCGAAAATTTCGCATCGACTCAGCCAGCCGCTGAATAAACCGGGGGGGGGGGGGGGGGGGAAGAGGACATTTTGACATTTTGCTCCCGGTTGGGGGGGGGGGGGGTGGTAAGGTCATCTTTTTTAGGTCAGCCATGGGAATAATTTTTTTTTCTTTTTTTTGTTATTATTAAAAAAAAACAAAGGGGGGGGGGGGAATTGGTTTTTTTAAGGGGGTTTATACACATAAAAATACCAAAGGGGGGGGGGGGGGGGGGTTTAACCCCCCAAACACCCCCCCCCCCCTGCGTACGCGCCTGCATAGGTGAATGCAAAAGTTTGCGAATCAGTAATAATACATTTCATATCACCAAAATCGTCTGCTTTTCAACTTTGCTGCTCCCCATCGAGAATGCTTTTATTTAAGACACACTCTTACAGAGCACACAATCCAAACAAAACCCAAGAGAGGGAAACTGCTCCTTTGTCAATGACCGAAAATGCTTACGCAGTCGTTATTGTTAAAACAGCTGAATGTTCTCATTAAGATGCACATAATGAGAAGGCGGCGACTATGATTGGATCAAAGAAAGAATCACGTTGAATGTCCATCCGTATTAAGTCCATGGTCACACGCATAGCTTTGAACAACATCGTGACTTTAATTAGAAATCAATCAAATATTCTATAAGAAACGAAACCCGACTTTCCAATCGATGACTAGAAAAAAAAAAGGATTATGTTCTGATGAATTTGTGTTGATCATGTCAAAGATGAATTAATCCTTTTTCAAAATTTGATCATTTTGATGGACAGGACAATGTGATTGCAAGATAGAAATGAAAGGGGTAAGGTCACCTTTTTAGGTCAGTCATGGGCATAATTTTTTTTGTTTGTTGTTGTTATAATTAAAAAAAAAAAAAAAAAACCAAAGGGGGGGGGGGGGGGGGGTTTAGAGGTTTTTTTTGGTAAAAATACACACATAAAAATACCAAGGGGGGGGGGGGGGGGGTTTAACCCCCTAACCAACCCCCCCCCCCCCCCCCCCCCCCCCCCCCCCCCCCTGCGTACGCCACTGCGTGTGACATAATTTTAAGGCACTGCCTTTGCCTTAAAATAACGTCACACGTATAGCAGTTCACTATGTCGATGTGCAAATCTAAAATTCCCTATTATCCGATTGAAACGCGTGTATTACATGGGATGTCGATGAGCTTGAACTTTAATAGCAGATTGACCATAACATTCATTTAATGTCTGGTCTTTATGTATCAACCATCACTTATAGGCAGGGTTTTTGGCTTTAGTGGCACAAAGTCGGGAATTTCCAATACCCTGCTGATCCATACCCAGTACACATTCCGACATAGTTGATTGGAAGAGGATCCAGATCAGTGGCGTCCATAAGGGCCAGTTGTGTACCATAACGGCTTAACGTGATATGACCGTTGGCGAAGGATAGCTGGTAGTGGTCAAAATCCGGAATTCCTGACAGACTGAAGGAGTCAGGGTTATTGTTTTGAGGATACAACGCATTCCAAGTAGAAGTATCGGAACTGGCAACTCGTCGGATAGCGCCACCGGTATTGCCCCATCCACCGATAACTGTATGATAGATATAAGTTGACAAGTTCACATGTTCATTTCTTTTCCACAAAAGTAAATGAGAAATAGATTCTCA